CGCAGTGCCCCTGGGTCCCCACTTCACGGCTCGCCGCGTCCCTCCAGACCCCCGAAACAAACCCCATCAGACCCCACTACGCTTCCCACCGCCGCGGCTCACTCACCGCTGCCCAACTTCCGGCAACCTCGACGCATATGCAGCGCGCACCTTGATGGCGTAACATAGCCCCGCCCCTGCTTCGCGGAGCTGGGCGCGCATGCGCAAAGGATGCCTGGTGGCTCTAGGGAAAGCGCCCCTGGCACCCGGCGAAGGGGGCTGAACGCGAGTCTTGTGGAAGGCAGGGCGACGAGGGGGGCGAGGTCCCGCAAAAACTGGGGAAATGGCTCTTGGGAGGCAGAATATATGTGTGTTCGCAGGTTGAGTTTTTTAAAATGCTGGGATTACAGTCTAGGTCACCATTCCCAACAAGACTAGGAAAATTTAATTGACTTGCTCAAAGTTAAAGGACTTGAGGACCAAAATTGGAATCAAAGTCTGACTCTTCCCAAACTGGAAAATAAAGCCAGGCATGGCACGTACCTGTCTGTAATCCCCGTACTTGGGAGGTTTAGGCAGGAGGATCGCTATGAGTTCAAGGCACACTGAACTATATAGCAAGACCTTGTTGCTAAATAAATAAATAAAACTGAATCCAGACTTAGTAAAGATATTCTACTGGAAAGGATTATTCCAAGGTGTAGGAGGGGAACTACTGCAAAACTACACTGACCAAAAGCTTGCAGCTGTCTGGGAGAGGCGCAATGAATTTTCTTTTAGAGGAAGTGTAAACAAGACCAGAAGGACTCAGATGTAGGAAAGTGAGGGTAATAGGGCCTGATCCCAACCCGAAGCTCTCCCTTGAAACCAGGCTGCTCTCCGGTAGAGTGGTGTAATGGCTTGGGTGGAGTGCAGCACAAAGTGAAGGACTTGGAAAGAAAGAAGCTTCACCGAAGTGTGTGGTCAATGATGTGTTTTGGCATTGCTTAGCAAGAACAAGCAATTCAACAGGTCATTTAAAGGGCTAAGTACAGGGGTTCAGAAAGACTGGAATCTTAGGTCAGGGAGGCAGCAGGAATCTTAGGTCACATAGTGTGTGTGCGTGCACGCAGTAAACACTTTGTAAGCACAGAAAAAGTGGAAAGATTCCTTAATCATTATTGTTTCCCACACAATCTTGCTGGCTAGCCTTGAACTCATTATGTAGGCCAGAGTAGCCTCAAACTCCAATGATCTTCCTGCCTCAGTCTCCTAACTGCTGGAATTCCAGGCATATGGTGCCACACCTGGTTTGGTGTTATGGTCTGGATCTGGAATCACCCCTAGAAGCCTCATGTGTTCAGAGGTGGGGCTTTTGGAAAGTGATTGGATTATGGGGGTGCTGTGCTGGCTTATTAGTGAAATCAGTCACTGATGAGTTCAGAGCTATGTACCATTAAGGGGTGAGGCTTATTTAGGGGCAGGTCACTGAGGGGATGGCCTGGAAGATGGAGCTACCTCTCTGGCTCCTCCCATATGTTTTTGCTCCCTGTTAGCCATGAGATGAGCTGCTCTCCTCCTCCAGGCCCTTCTAACACAGTTTCCATGTTGCAGCCTGTTGACCATGGACCGAACTTCTGAAACCATAAGCCAAAATAAATCTCTTCTCCCTTAAGTTGTCAGTGTCTTGTGTTGTGTCCCAGCAAGGAAAAACTGACTGAGACACTTGAAAGCTCTTTTGAGTGTGCCTATCTTCTCAGACTGCTGCCTTGCATCACCCCACAAGAATTTGTGTTTTCCAAGCACACCCTGCTCCCTCCTGTCTCCAACCCACCATGCCTCACATTTCCATGCTTCCTCAATCTGCACAGCCCAGCTCTCTGTGCCTGGCTGTCCAAATGCTGACAGGAAAGCACATGCACGCTGTCTGACTCCACCTCAGTGAAGTCCTATAGTGACAGAAGTCATATGCATGGTTGAATCAAGAGGGGGCCTTGTCTTCACAGGGGTATGGCAATGTTGCACAGATTCACAAGACTGTAATGATATGCACACATGTGTTTATCTGAGGTACATTTAGTAGTATGCACTGAATATGGTAACTGTAATTTTTAAAAACCAAGCTAAGCATGTGGTACACACTTATACTCCTAGCTTCTCAGTAGGCTGAGACAGGAGGATGGTAAGTTTGAGGCCAAACTGCCAACTTAGTGAGGCCTTGTCTCAATGAACAAGTTGTCACTTCCTGTGAGAATGTATGCCTAGCGCACACCTAGAGGCTCTACTGTATTGAACATATGAGCTGGGACTAAAGAAAGCTCTTCAGGATTTTTTCCCCCTGCTGGGCTTTCTGCATTTCTGATAAATGCATTTTAGAGTTTCTGCACAGATTAAAATGATTCATGCATTTCTGGAAACTGTCAGACTTGGCCATACATTCACCCTGAACCTCTCCCCAACACCAACCCCAACCACTCTGGCAGTGACTGCAACAAATGTAGATGTATGTAGTACCTTTTTTTTTTTTGAGAGAGAGAGGGTCTGAGTAGCCTAGGCTGGTCTAAAACTCACAGCAATCCTCCTGCCTCAGCCTTCTGAGTGCTGAGGTTACAGGTATTCTTCACCTCATTCAGCTACAGGATGATTCTTGACCCTCAGATTTGGACACCAGAACTGGTGTCCCTTAAGAGTAGGAATGGGCTGGAAGTCAGTAGTAGTATTCTACAGGGAGCTTCCTCAAGTTCTGAGATTCCCATGGCTGACTTGACTTAGGTCTCCCAACCCGGGCTTTGGGGACATCACTGAGGGTCTCCATGCAACTCCCCAGGCAGTGCTTTGAATCACATTCCCTCTGCAACTAGTCCTGAAATGTAATTCCCGGGGCCGGGGGTATTCATCACTAGCACGGTCTATGGTTAGCATGTGACATGAGACTCTGGATCCCTAGCACAGAAAAGCAGGGAAGGAAGGAGTGAAGGAACAAACTGATAAACTTCACTGTCACTGTGGTGGTTATTTGCTTATAAACCTGTAGAACTTTTAACGTAGTAATGTATAAGTCACTACATTAAAACAAACATGACTCAAATGCAGTAAGCCATATTCTCAACTCCAGCCCTTGAGTTCTTAAAACACAACCATTTAGCCACACATGGTGAGGCAGATCTATAATCCCAGCATTTGGGAGGCCAAGGAGGGAGGATCACTCTGAGTCCAAGGCCAGCCTGGGCAACACAGTGAGTTCAAGGCTAATCTAAACTACATAATGAGATGCTGTCTCAAAAGCAAAACAAAAAAAACATAATCCTTTAAGGAAAAAGAAAAAAAAAAGACTATCTTCAAATGTCAGAACATGGAAAGTGGAGGACTGAGTGAACAGAGCTGAAACTTCGATCATCTCCTGTGCTTCCTAATTATTAACTCTTTTGTGCCAGAACCAAGATTAATCTTGGCAGTTATCAACCCGCCCCCTACATCAATTTATATTAGGTGTCATAATTTTTTGGTCTTGCTTTCCTTTTTTTGATACTGGGGATTGAACTCATGATTTCACACTTGTCAGGCAGGTGCTTACACTGGTTTTGTTTTCTGAGGTAGGGTCTCATTAGTCCAGGCTGGTCTCAAACTTGTGTTCTTCCTGCCTCAGTCTCAAGATTGTGAGGACTATGGCCATATACCACTGCACCCAGCAGTAATAGTCCTTCCTAAGCATAACAAAACTCATACTGAACAATGAGTTCTGGGTTTCAAAACAAGGTTTCATTTTGCACCTGTCCATAACAATGTGGTGGCTATTAGAAGGTGGAAACTTTTTTAAAGATAGTCTACATATTCCATATGTAGCCCAGGCCAGCCTTGAATTCATGGCAATCCTTCTGCCTCAGCCTCCCAAGTGCTGGGATTTCTGGAGTGTGCCAACATGCCTGGTAATGTCTTCAACATATATCTGGATTTGGAGATTTCTGTTCATTACAGGTTAGTGGACAGTCTGAATGTTTCCCTGTGGCTGCACAGAATAGCCTCAGACACCCGGTAACCATCCACAGACTCAGTTTCAGATGCTCCTCAAAGCTCTGTGGGAACCAGTCCCACAGAGTTGAAACTGCATCTTTCTGTCCTGGGGCACCCACTGTCTCCATATGGCCTATGACAATGTTCGGCAAGTTCGTGTTAATAGAGGAGGCCTGCACATCCAGGTGGCTGTGGGGCCCAGAATTGATGGCCATTTCATTGATAAAGTGATAAAAATGGCTTCTTGTAGGGCTGAGGATACCAGTTTACAGAAGTCCTGCCCAGGTGGGGGAAGCAAGGCAGCCCATGGGCACCAAGACCATGGAGCAGCAAGAAAGATTCACAGAGGCCAGGTATAGTAATGCACACTTGTAATCCCAGCACTTGGAGGCTGAGGCAGGAGAATCTCCATGAGTTTGAGGTTAGCCTGGGCTAAATAGTGAGTTCAAGGCCAGATCTATAGTAAGTCCCTGTGTCTAAAACCAGAATGAGAGAGTGTGTGTGTGAGTCAGGGTCCACAGAAAGGCAGAGAATGTTCTTAGGCATAGTAAGGCTCTAGGATGTGTCCTCAGACCCAGTGACTGAAGTCAGTCCACTGTCATCGCCTGTCCTGGAGTCAGCAGTACAGGACATGTGCCCCCCACAGTGGAGCCTTGCATGTACCACACCAGCTGAGCCAGACATACTTCTGTCTCTCCCTGCAGTAGAGGCTGGCTTAGTGTCTGGGTTTTGTTTTTCTTTCATCTTGCATCAGGGATTGAACCCAGTGCCTTCTTGCCAAGCTACATTCCAAGCCTTTTTCTATTTGCTTTTATTCTGAAAACAAGGTCTTGCTGAGGTGCTAAGTCATCCAGGTGATGCTAGAATTTAACATCCTCCTGGTTCAGCCTCCCACAGTGCTGGAATTGCAAGTGTTCACCCTTACATCCTGCTCTGACTCGGTGTATCATTGAAATCCATATGAAAGTCCTCTGTGTTCCACAGCCCTTAGGCATCGGAGCCAATGCACACACTAACACATGGACCGGTCCTTAGATTCTCAAAGTATCTGTTTATTGTTCTTGTCAGACCCAAATCCAGCGCTCCCACCCCCTAACAAGGCTCACCCCCTTATTTCTTTCCCTGTTGCTGGGGGTGGGGTCCCCACACTGGACACATGGACCTATGGGCAAGCCGCAGTCACTCGAGGTTTCTCTGGTTCTGAAGCCCCAATCTCACTTGGCAATGGCAGCTTCTGACACCACGAATAAAGTCTCCACAGCTCTGCAATTTGGAGCATGAAGAACTTTCCGGGAACCAAAGCAGGAGAGTGAATGTTCTACAGTCCTTTAGGAAAGGCACTTACAGACATGACCAGGAAGCAAACAGAACCCCACTAGAGTTCTGTCATGCTCTTTAGCACTTTACAGTACATTTTTCTGCCCAAGGAACTCCAAAAGGAAGAAAATAAACAAATCACAGAACAGTATCCTTTTGAAGAGCATACTTTAGGGAGGTAAAAATTGAACAGGTCACGTACACAGGAACACAAGACACAGGAGACCTGTGTAGATGGGCACTTCCACTTGCTACACACACAGTTTTAAAATATAAATCACAACCAGTGGTGATGTAAGCATCACGTACACCGCATGTCCTACAGCTCAGCTGCTTCAGCTCCACGGGGAGACTCTAAGAGAGCATGAAGACCTCTTGACTTGCGGGCAACAGTGTCCCTTCAAAGGGTCTTGTCTGTGGCTGCAGATGAGCTCCACCGCAGCTGCTCTTCCTCCCTGCATGTCATTTTGGGAACTGTCGCTGCTCTTGGGAATCTTGTGCGTAGGGGTGGGTGTGTAATATGACACATTTCTGCCTTTTGGAGAAAGGGTTAGGACAAACTGGAAGCCCATCCCAACCCCCATGCCAAGTTTCTGCTCTGACTTTCTCACACACCTAGCTTCAAGACCTTCACTCCTGGCTGGCTGGACCTTGGTCTGCTCCTCCAAAAGCTGGAAATCACACGCTGCCTCCTCTCATGGTGTCGCGGTGTCGGGGAACACCAATGGTCCCTGCATGGTCCGGCCCTGGGACATCGGCCATTCTCCCCACAGTCCCAGCCTTTGCTTTGAACATGCAGCCCTTCAAATCGCTTCCTGTATTTTTTCTTTGGAAGGCGGCTTTTGTCCCCAAATACTGAAGAACCCAAGGGAAGCTGGGGTGGAAAACATGGGTATGCATGCTGCAGAAGTTCCTGCCAACTCTGAGCCACGTGTGTGTAAGAAAGCCTAAGGCAGGAGCTCGAGGCAGCCCAGCCGTGGGCTCTGAAGACAGGCGTCCACTGCGCTCTTGCAGGGCCCCTGCCCACTGCTCCCAGCAGGGTCTTTTTGCTGCTCCCTGCCACTTGCTCTTCTTCAAGCGCCACCCGCTGAGACCTTTTCTGCCCTGCTCAGCCCTAACCAAGCCGGGCCTCACACTGAGAGGCCCAGGTACCTGTGAGACAAGGCTCCCTCCCTCCACCCCCAGGGCCATCACAAAGCCACCACCCCTGGCTGCCTCCCTCAGGTGCACCCTCAAGGGGGGATACGCAGGATCCTCTTGAAGGTCTTCCTGAAATTCTCATTGCACAGTGGGTAGATGAGTGGGTTCAGCGTGGAGTTGAGGTAGCCCAGCCAGATGGTGAACATGTGCACAGGCTCGTTAGAGCAGCTCTTGCAGAAGGCAATGACCATGAAGAACACAAAGTAGGGGATCCAGCAGAGAATGAAGGCTGCCATGATGCACCCTAGCTGCTTAGCTGCCTTCCGCTCCCGGTTCAGATGCAGCCCTGACGTGTACTGTCGCGAGTGTGAACGCAGCCTCCTCCACGTGAACTTGATGTAGTCCAGGCCGGAGTTGGACCCGCTGCGTGGCTGGCCACCCATGGGCGCCGCCTCAGTGCTGGTATCGGAATCTGTGATCGGGAAGGACTGGCCATCTACCACTGTCCACTCCTCCGGCCTAGCACTGATACTGTGTGTGGCCCGGCTCTGTCCACTCAGCTCAAGCTGGCTGTGCATGTGGTTCAGGGCTTCACAGCACCTGCCATCTCCCACTGCCAGCATGGGCATCTGCCGAGTGCCCACCTCTCCCCCCTCGTCTTCACTGAGGACAGCTGCACATGGCATGTCCACGAGGTGTTGGGATGATGGCATTGGGGTGTGCACCCCACTGGCATCTTTTGAGCATCTTTTTGGATCCTCCCACGGTGACTCCTTCCCCATCCTCCTGGTGTCCACCTTGGCATTCTCCAACTTCAGCTTCATCTCTGAGAAGGAAGGGAGGGAGCTGTTGATGAGCTGGCGGTGCTGACAGTGTCGCCGTACGGCCTTGTAGATCCGGATGTAGAACCACAGCATGAGCAGGGTGGGCAGGTAGAAGTTGATGATGGCAGTCATGACCTTGAACCAGGTGACATCGTAGAAGTCTGTCTCACACTTTTTCTCCCGGGGCTCTGACGTCGGGGCCATGAAGTGGTGCCAGCCCAGGATGGGAATCACCCACAGGAAGGAGAGAAGCCAGGCTCCCAAGATAGTGGCAGATGCACGCGTCTTGGTCCGATACCTCAAGTACCTGAGAGGCTGCTGGACAGAACGGTAGCGGTCAATGCACAAGATGAAGACACTGAAGATGGACGCTGTGCTGGCCACATAATCCATAGAGAGCCAGAAGAGGCAGAGCGGGCGGCCCAGGATCCACGCAGACCTGTGGAGGTAGAGGATGCTCATGGGCATGACCACGGCACCCACGATCAGGTCGGCCACCGAGAGGCTGACAATGTATAGGTTGCCCACTGTGTGCAGCTTCCGCTCGCTGCGCACAGCGTACAGTACCAGCAGGTTGAGCGCCACGGTGACCAGCGACACGCTGCTTAGCACCACCACCAGCGGCATCAGCTGGCGGGTGGGGGTGGTCGTACTGTTGCCCTCCAACATCCTGTCTTCCAGGGCCCAGGAGAAATTGGACAGGGTCACTGGGGTCATTCCTGGGAGGAAAGACATAAGGACAAGGCCAGAGGTCAGACATACCTGATCAGCAGCATCACTTCCCCCAAAATGGCCTGGGCACTTTGGTGCTGTCTAACATCTGGTTACCTATCTAACATTCCAGGGCTGCCTTCCCCATTCATTCATTCAATTTATGGAAGCCTGCTGTGGTGGTGCAGTCCTGTGATCCTAGCACTCAGGAGGCTGAGGCAGGAGGATTGCTGTGACTGGACTATACAGCCTATCTCAAAAAAGAAAATTTAAAGAAAATCATTGAATGCCAAGGCATTGAATGCCTTGTTCTATGTGTTGCACTTACAGCAGTGAATAAAACAGACAAACTCTTGACCCTCCTTGTGCTTGCCATCAAGGGAGGAAATTTGGCCAAAACTACATAGTAAATAACTAGTGTCAGAGTCAGGTGCAATGGCACATGCCTGTCATTCCAGCACTTGGAAAGCTGAGGCAGGAAGGTCACTGCAAGTTCAAGGCCAGCCAGGGGTACATACTGAGTTTGAGGCCAGCCTGTACTACAGAGTGAGACTCTGTCTCAAACAAACAAAACCAGAGCCAGTCTCATCCTGTCCCCATTCCAGGAAGGTGGGGGCTGAGCAGATGGGCCAGGCTGAAAGCGGTATCTGCTTCCTCTTTGCTGGTACAGGAAGTGGCCATGGGACAGCTGTGATCAAGGAAGTGCAGGGCACATTCCTCTCCTTCCTGAAGGAGATTGGGGAAACCGGTTAGTACTGTGGAAGTCATTTTGGGGGCATCAGGGCAATGCCAAGAAAACCACCAAGATGCCAGCTCAGCCCTTCTATCCCTGCACTGCTGACTATGCCCTGGAAGCTTCTTCCTCCAGACTTTTAATAGGAGAACTAACGAGATTCCTTCTCTGCTTAGGCCACAGTTCAGGGAGTTCTGCCTGCAGCTGAAGCCTCTCTGGCATGTGGAGGCTACAGGAGAGTTGTACCTAAAGAACCCCAATCATGGAGCACATCCTGCAGGCCAAAAAGGAAGGTCTCAGACTGGGGTGTGGCTCCGTGGTAGAGTATGTGTGTGGCATGAGTGTGGCCTTGGGTTCATTCCTTAGTGCTGCAAAAATTATTTTAAAAAGAGGAAGACATGTTTTCAAATGGGAGGGAGGGTCATGTTATTTAAAAACACAGTTATTATTATACTTTTTCTTTGGCTTTGTGAGACAGAGTCTCACTATGTAGTCCAGGTTGGACTTGAACTCATGGCGATCCTCCTGGCTAGCCTCCCAAGTGCTGGGATTATTATCAGACGCACCACCACCACACCCAGCTGTTTTACTTTCATATTGGAAGAACAAGAAGCATCTTTTCATTGCACAAATTGTATCACACTAAACCTCTGCTAATGAAGGCCACACAGAAGACAGCTTGTGTCTCCTCACACTGTGATCCTCAAGGGAGTGGCGTGTATGTGGGCTTCCCTCACTGTCACAGAGTCCTGAGATACAGGTAATGAGCATGTAAAGAGAACAGGTTCATCTGGGCTCACGTGGGCATGCTGAACAGCCATGGTGGGGAAGGTGTCACGCAGCAAAACTGCCCACCTCATGCAGGAAGTGAACAGTAGAGGAAAGGCAGAGGGTGCCAGTGCCCGCTCCGAGGCCACGCCCCAATGACTTAAGAGCCTCTTGCTAAGCCCCACTTCTTAAACGGCCCACCAACTCCCAATAGTGCCTCCATGCTGACCAAGCCTCCAATACATGGGTGCCGGGGGATGCTAATGATCACAACTAAAACAGGTCAAAAGTGGAAGCAGGAATTAAAACTTCTAGAAGCAGTTGTTAGGTTTTCATATTCATTAATGAGTAGTGTGATTTAAAGAAAATCTGAGATACAGTGAGTTTAAATTTCTCTTGTTTCTTTTGCAAAAAGGAAATTTAGTTTTACATTAAGACAGAGCCAGATAAGTTCTGAAGTAAAAAAGCTAAATCTGTATCATTCTTAAAGATAAAAATCGAGCCCCTAAGGCATTTGATTCTTGGGGAAGAAACCTTTAGCAATGATTTTGCCCTGGCTCTGCCACTGATTTTCTTGGTAATCTTCCAACCTTATTTTGTCCTGGGGTTGCTGGGTGGGAGGGCTCTAGAGATGCCCTCACCTCTCTCTTTAGAGTTTCCCTTGTTATATTTTGTTTGTTTGACACAGAGTCTCTTTCAGGCTGGCCCCGAACTCATGATGACCCTCCTGCCTCAGCCTTCTAAGATGTATGATAAGATGTGTGATAGTTTCCCTGCTCTAGCTTTTACATTTTTACTGCAGCCCAGAACTGCCCTACGTGGTGGTACAACCTTCTGCTCTCTAGTTGAAGCTTCTGTGGCTGGTTCAATATCTCTCCATCCTGTGACAAAGTCCTGTCCTGTCCACTGTTCCTTGGACCTTTCACTTCAGCCAGCACTTCTCTGAGGACTCCCACTCCCAACCAAGGCGGTGGCTTGTGGCTTTGTCCATCCCCACCACAAATGCTGAGCTCAATCTTGCTAAACCCTGCCTGATTATAGTCACCCACAGGCAACCCTGGGTGGAGGAGAAGGCTGAGGCAGGAAGCATCACTTAGGAAGCTGCATTTTCCAGTACTGGATGGAAAGAATACAGAAGTGGCTCTGCAGTGTGGCATTCTCAGGGCAGCACCAACTCCCTGCTCTAGAGGCATCATTCTGTCTATTCTCAGTGCCTGGGACACAGAGAGGACAAAAACCTATTTCTTTACTTATGTGGGTACTGTTTATCATATAGCAGAAATATTGTACAGAAAACTATTTGTTTTACATGAAAATCTGTGTTTTCTTTTTTTATGCAAAAAGAAGTTTCCAGGATCTGTAATGTGCACCCATAGTCCCAGCTACTCAGGAGGCCGAGGTCCACTTGAACCCAAGAATCTGAGGTTAATCTGGGCAACACAGCAAGAGCTCATCTCAAAAATAAAAGTTATGATTGAATTGATCTCATTAAACTAAAACAGTGCAGAATATGGTTTAAAGGCTGGGGTCTACAAGTGCCTGCAGTTTACTTTGAAATGAACCAAAGTATAGGTTGGATGGATGAATGTTTAGAGGAATGGATAAATGAACAGATACAGGATAGCCTGAAAGAACAAAATGAGGTAAGGGTGTGCTCAGTGGCGCAGAGGTTGCCTAGCACATGCAAGGGTGTGAGTTCAATTCCCAGTACTACACACACACACACAGACCACCATGTCAATTCATAATCCAGGAAGTAAGTATATAGTGTCTGCTGCATAATACTTTCAACGTTTCTACTTAATCAGTAAGTTTCATAATAAAATGTTGGGGGAAATTAATGTAGCATGTATGATCATATTCACTGATTACTGTATGCTCAATGCTTGATCCCATTTTTGCCTTTCTAGCCCAGACAAGTGTTTTGTGCAAAGATTTTTATCTTTACAAAAGCTCAGGGGCTGGGGTTGTGGCTCAGTGGCATAGTGTGTGTGTAGCATGCATGAAGTCCTGGGTTCCACCAGAGCCAGAAAAAAAAAGGTGAACAGAGCTGGGCATGGTGGTGGTAATCCCAGCACTTGGCAGGCTGAGGCAGGAGAATCACTGCAAGTTCAAGGCCAGCCTGGGCTACAAAGTGAGCTCAAGGCCAGCCTGAACTGTATTGCAAGGCTCTGTCTCAAAGAGACCAAAAAAGAACAAATAACCAAAAGGCAGTGTGAAATATCTCAGACCTTATTCATTCAACAAACATTTTTTGGTGAGGCTCTTGCCCAGCTCACTGGCTGGAGGAAGAGCACACACTCTACCCGGAGTTGCTGGGCTGCGAAGAAATTTTCAAAGGCAGAAGCAGTAGCTAGGCTACATCTAGGGGGACTATGGGGTCATCTCCCTGCAGATGGAGGTGACCTGGGCACAGGGCCTAGAAAATGCTGGCCACCCCAAGAGACTGCAGCACCTGTCTGGCCCAAGAATGCCACGCCATTCCAAGGAAGCAGGGAGCCTGGGGACAGACTGCTGAGGAATGTGAATGTAAATGACTTCCCAAGAAGAAGGCCAGGCCTGAGGGCCTCTGGGGCCAGGCCCAGAGACTGCAAGTGCACAGTGGGTACGGCAGAGGGGACAGGAAAAAGGAATACTCACTCAGGTGGCACTTGGGACTGCCACCCTACTGGAGCCTCGGACATTGCACCCTCTTCCTCAGGGCTGGAGATAGAAGCCAGAGCCTCTGTTTGGCTAATCTCATTACAACCTGCTCCTCATCAGAATAATTTTTAAGTGATTAAGAATTTCAAGTAAGGCTAAGTAAGGCTAGGGGTATAGCTTAGTGGTAGAGAGCTTACCTAGCTCACACACACACACACACACACACACACACACACACACTGTGCATATTTGCCAAGTGTGGTGGTACATGCCTGTAATTCCAACACTTGGGAGGCTGAGGCAGGAAAAGTGCTGACATTTTGAGGCCAGTCTAAGCTACATAGTGAGTTCAAGGCTAACATAAAAAAATATATAGTGAGACTCTGTCTCAGAAACAACGATTTCGAGATGAATATACTGGACCAGGCTCGGCGCCTTGGGCACAGGGTCTGTCCCATGCCAAGGACACCAGCCCTGCTCTCTGCCTGCCACACAGCCTCCAAACAGGTGCCAGGTGCTTTCCCCTGCTTCAGGGACCTGCATTCACAAGCAGACCCATGAATGGGTTCCCTGTGTATGTATCTTCCAGAGGGCCAGCCACTGTGGCACAGGTGGGATGAGTGGAGATGTGGGTCCTCTCTGGCCCTATACCACTCAGGGGACCCCAGCTGGACGGGGTGCCTCCCTGGCAGCCAGACAGGGGGTGTGCTCAGAGCAGAGAAAACGATGCCACAGGAGGTTCTTGGGACAAGGACATTTGGAGACAGTAGGAGGACATCTGCGTCCTGTGCAGAGCTGGGTTCTACCCATTTTCTGCTACCTATAGGGCTGGCACCTGCTCTGTGGCTGCCCCCTCCCTCCAGCCCCAGGAGGACTGGCTCTGTACAGCCCAAAGCACTGCTTACTGTCCAGAGCAGAAACGGACCTTTGTCTCCACATGGCTGGAACAAGCATGCAGATCATCATGTTTACATTAAAGTGATGGTGTCATACCACATCCATGAGCTACGAGCCAGCAGACAGATGGATGTCAGTATTCCATGGGGCCCAGGATGCAGGCAAGCAACTGAGACCTGAGGAGTCAAGTCCAGGTCACTTTTCAGACATCAGTTACTAAAAGCCCATGAGGGAGACTGACAAGGCCCAGCTAGTGAGGGGAAAGTAAATGGTCAGTTCAAGCTCACAGAGGCAAAGCAACTTACTGCAGGTCACACAGCCAGGAAGTGAGCACTGTAGTCTGACTGGTTTCTCAATCTTGGTAGCATCAACACTGTGCTCAGCTCTTCCTTGCTGTGCAGACTGTCCTGGGCCGTGTGTGTTTGGCAGTGTCCCTAGTTACTATTCACTAGGTCTCAGTAGTAGCCACCCTCTCCCAGGTGGTAAGGACCAAACATCTGTTGCTGCCAGGTATGCGCTGGGAGACAGAAGCATGTCACTGAATAAGGTGTGCACAAAACACCCACGGCCCTCATGGGCCTGAGACCCTAGCTCTCAGCTCCAACAAAGCAGGGTTTTGGAAAAGGGATGTTGCTGGGCAGGGTGCCGAACATCTCTAGCCCCAGGAAGACTGTGAGTTGAGCCCAGCTTGGGCAACTTCAAACTGTAATGAGACCCTGGCTCAAGAAAGGTGGGAGACAAGGAGGGAGGAAGAGAAGGAGAGGACAGATGTTACCCAACATCACAAGGTGCTTCCATTGCAGGAAGTGAAAAGTGAGAGGGATCTTGGATCTGATTCCAAACCAGACACTTTGAGGACAAACTTTACTTAGGCAAGATGTACAGATGTTGGGCTGACACTCTGGGTGATTCTTGTACTGGCCCAACCCCAGCCCTCAGGTGCTTTTAGATAGAGCACCCTAAGCACTTCATTTCAGTCCCTGGCATACAGGAGGTGCTCAATTATTGCAACTGTCTTTTTTTTTTCCCTATTTCTATTGAGTGGCATCACCATCTATAGCTGGTTCTATCAGGCTACAGGAAATTCCCTTGACTTTGCCCTGTTTTTCACTTAGGCAAAATAATGACAGTCTCTTCTGAGCTTAAAAGACAATGCTGCTTTAGAGCTAAGTGTGGCGCTGCCTGGAGCACAGACTACAATTCCCAGGCTCCTCCGGGGCTGGATGGAGCCACATGACTAAATTCCAAATGGAAGTGTGATCAATAACTTCCTGAAAACCACCCTGAGGTGAGCACCTCACCACTATACCATGCACCTGGGCCATGATTTATGCTTCACCAAGAGCCCAAAAGTAAGAGGCCTGACCAGAACTGGCTGAACCTCTGAAATTGTGAGCCCAAATTAACCTTCCCTATAGCCGATTATCTCTGGCATTTGTTACAGTAACAGGAAGCTGACTAACATGAATGATAGGGGGATGTTCTTTCTCTGGTGCCAGCGACCCTGCCCTTTCCCTCGCTGCCATTTCTCCATGCCCAGCCCCAGGCTGACATGTGTGGGTGCTCAGCAGAAGACACAGCAAGAGGACATGTGGGTGTGCTGCCTATGAGGTTGCTGTGGGCTGGGTAGGTGCCTGTCCACTGTTGGAGGTTTAGTCACCATGATAGTGACATAAGGTGGGGGACTTGTAAGGGGGGGTCCTGCCAGGAAGTCCTGTGTCACTGGGGGCCTGCCCTTGAAAGGTGGCTCTTGTGGGACCCCTGAAGTCTCAAGAGAGGAAGTTGGGAGCCCTGGGTCTCTCTTTGGCTTCCTGCTTTGTGATGTTACCTGTCGCTTGTGCTTGTGTTTAGGCTGGACATCAAACCAATGGAACTGCAGCCTCCAAAATCATAAGCTAGTTTGTGGTGCCACACACCTGTAATCCAAGCACTCAGGAGGCTGAGGCAGGAGGATCTCTGCAAGTTCAAGGCCAGCCTGAACTACAAAGTCAACTGAGGCTATAGAATGAGTTCATGGCCCCTCTGAACTATATAGCAAGACCCTGTCTCCAAAACAAACACACAAAATACCTATGAGCTAAGCAACCTCTTTATTCTGTTCAGTTAGCCTGCCTCGGGTATTTTGCCACAGTAACAAAATGAATTCACTCAGAAAGGTAGCTACAGAATAGAACATACCATTGTCAATGATAATCACATCTATTGGACAACAGCAATAATGCTTACTGTGGAATTAAGTTTATAAAGGACATTGTACAGAATGGTGCTATGTCTAATAACAGGTTAAATTGAAGGGGAACTTCTGCTATGTTCACAGTAATTTTCATGAATATCGGGATGATATTTATTATCTTTGGTATTTCCTAAGATTTCAGGAATGAGACTGTCTTAGGAAAAACAGGAACCAAAATTGTTTTTTGTTGTTTTCAATTCTTCTTCTTGTTCTTCTTCTTTGTTTTTTTTAGACAGGGTCTTGCTATGTATTTCAGGCTGGCCTTGTACTTACTCTACGGCCCCAGTTGACTCTGAACTCAGGGCAATCCTCCTGCCTCAGCCTCCTGCATGCTGGTATCAAAAGCCTAGGCCACCATGCCTGGCAACTGCATTCATTTTTTTAAGAAGGTGTTTCCATAGAAGTATCTAAAATTAGATTAGGAAGACTCTGCCAACAGGAACAATAATTGAACTTTACAATTCACTTAGGATGGGTGGAAACAGATTTTAATTTAAAAAATAAAGATGTTTTCTTAAAAGATGGTGAGAAATGCTTGGTGCCTCTTCTATTTCCCTGGGTGAAAGTGAGAATTCAGACTTTCTCTTTTGATGTTTTCTAAAGAGTCTTCCCTGCTACACCTCATTCCGAGCTCCCCCACCCTCAGCATCCCTGGCAATCCCAGTTTCTTCACTGTAATTTCCAAGAAAAGGGTGCTGTGCAGGGGGTGCATGTTCTCCCAGGGCTGCCAGGGCCCAGTCCTGCATGGTATTGGTCTTAGCAGTGTTGCCAATGTGATGCCCACAGTGGATTACAAATGCCCATGGACCCCCCACCCCCAGATCAGGCCTTGTGACAGGGTCTCGAGGTGTCTCAGCTGACTTGGGGGTAGCAGTGGTCCCCACAGTTTTCTAGGAGTGGAGAACAGGGCCTGTAGAGAGCAGACAGGGACAAATTCTCTGCTCTGCTGGCATAGGACATCTGCTACTCAGGTGTCATCACTGGCTGCTGACCTGCCTGTCTTTAAAATAAAGTCTTTAATAGGGCTTTTGCTTATTTTCCTGTCCCAGGGATTGAACCTAGGGCCTTTGCATGAGCTCTATCCCTAACCTTTTATTTGACTTTTTCTTTTGAGACAGGGTCTCCCTAAGCCACTAAGTTTCCCAGGCCCGGCTTGGGAATGATATAAATGTTTAAACTTGGATTCAATACAACAGTGACAATAGCTGAATTTTACGATTCTCTTGGGACAGCGAAATTTTATGGCATTACAATAACATCGTAAGGAAACACACAGTAGCTCACGACTTTCTGGCTCCCCTGTCTTTGCAGCTGTTTAACATCCACTTCCTCCCACTAGGGCTAGAGACAGGTTCCTAAGATCCTCCATGTCATTTCAGTGACAGCAAGCAGGTTACTCAGCAGGAACAGCTTCGGTACCAAGACTTAAATAAAACACATCTAGAGGGCCAGGGGATGGCTCAGCAGTGGGCGCTTGCTAGCACACGTAAGGCCTTGAGTTTCATCCCTAGCACTATAAAAACAAAACAAAACAAAAAACAAAAAAACCCCACCATATTCTGGCAGTTATGTGCATAGCACTGTGTGTAGCAGTACAATTCATGATAGCCAAACCTTGGAATCAAGCCCTGCAAGGAAAGCCACGTGTGGCCTGGGGCATGGCTTGGTGGTAAGGCAGTTACCTCCTCTGTGCTGTGAGTTCAAGCATCACTACTACAAAAAACCCAAACCAAGATCCAAGAGAGACCAAAGAACAAATTTTGTTTTGTTTGCATTTTTGCTTGTTTGAGACAGTGCCTTGCTGTGTAGTTCAGGTTGGCCTGGAACTCACTATGTAGCTTGGGCTTCCTTGGAACTGACAGCAATCCTCCCCACTCAGCCTCCGCAAGTGCTGGGTGTCCAAGTGACATCTATCTTCTATGACCTTCAAGTAGCTTTCATATCCTCCCCTTCACTCTCAGTCTCTTTTTCACTGGAAAGGAAGGCAGTAAACAAACAAATACATATTCCATGGAATGGAAAATATGAGCATCTGTGCTAAAATCAGACAGGCACATATACACACATTTCAGGATATGATATATGTTTCCATTTTGTTCCAAATCCCTGAAGATGAAGCCTTGTGAAATCCACTGTCAAAGAGCAAAGTGACCCAGAGTGCTCTCTTCTTAAAAAAATTTATGATATTGCAGTAAATAAAAGAATTGGGATAAAACAGGGAGGTGTAGCATTTGCAGGGAGGGCTCTAAGTAATCAGGAGTCTCTCTAATTTGTCTCCTTTAGGTGGGTGACTTGGGCCTAGCTGTAGCTCCTTCTTGCCCACTGCTGGGCTCTCTATTTTCTGAGATAAGGTCTCACTATGTAAGTCAAGCTGTCCTTGAACCCACTATGATCCCAAGCTGGCCTCCTGGTTGCTAGGATTACAGGGGTGTGTGCCACCACACCCAGCTCCCTGGGAATCTCTTGTCCAGGTTTGTTTACAGAGACTTCTGATTCTTCTGCAAGTGCAGGCAAAGGCCCTGGACAAGTGGGTGTGTGCCTGGAAATCCAGCTATTCTGGAGGCTGAGGCAGGGCGATCACTTGTGCTGAGGCACTTACAACCTGCCTAGAAACACTAGGAGATACTGTCTCAAAAATACAAAATACCATTCGACCCAGTTATTCCCCTTCTGAGTATTTCCCAGAAGAATTAAAAACATCATACCACAGAAATTTATGTGTATCCATATTTATAGAAGCACAACTTGTAATAGCTAAACAATCCAAATGCCCATCAAAAGAAGATGGTTTTTTTAACCCAGCTATAATGAAGAATGCACTTGAGACATTTATAGGGAAATGGATACAACTTGAGACCATACTCATAAGTGAAATAAATTACATTCAAATGTATAAATATCACACTTGTCTCCCTACTGTAAGAAGCTGAAAGAGTAAATAAGATCCAAAATGTACAATAGATATTGTAAAATAGGAAGAAATCTTTCAATAAGAGAGAGAAACTGGGATGGGGGAAAGGAGAAAAGAAGGAAGGAAAAAGGGAATATAAGTAAATAGATACACATACAGGAAAAGTAGTTTAAATAATTATGCTACTAATTGCTATTCATTGAAAAGAAAGGTTTGTGCCTACAATGTTTGACCAATTTTTCATGTCGGTACCTTGCATGAGCAAATGCTTCGATAACAGTACGTAACATGCTAACCATTGTTACTCTCCTAAAATCCTATTTTGAAATTTTGTACCACTGCCTTTTCTTAAGAATAAAAAATAAAAAACTGATGAACAAAAACCAAATAAACCAGAAAATCCTGAACATTTTATTTGTTATAGATTACAGCTAGACATCCCCCAAAGCCTCATGTGCTCCTAAATGGGGCTTTGGAGGGGAGACAGGACCATGGGAGTGTGGCACTCATCAGTGGGTTGGGTCAGTGATGAGGTTATGGCTGAATATGATGGAAGAGGTGAAGCCGGGGGAGAAGGCAGTCCCTGGAGGCATGGCCTGGGAGGGCTCATCTCTTCTCGACTCCTCCCTTCAATTTCTGCTTCCCACGGACAGCTCGTCCTCCCCATCCCCCTCTGCCAGGCTGTCCTCAGAGTCATGAGACAACAGACTGAAACCTCCAGGAACTGTGAACCAAATAAACTCTCCTTTGGCTGATTGATGTTAGGTGTTGTGTCTCAAGAGATGATAAAATGATTAAGTATTTAAGACAAACATAAGGATTCTGGCAAGTGCAGAGGTACAGACAAAAGACCTCCAAGCCTTGGGACCAAAGAACCATGCAGGCATGGGTGTGCTGCACCCTTGTTTAGGTGCATGTGTTTGACACCCTAAGCTGGAGAAGCTGACAACTCAGAAATACGAATATGCACAAACTAAAAGAATCCAAACAGGCCTTCAGAGAAGTGCGAGGCACTGAGCCCGAGGATCAGGAAGAGGGCAGCCTAGCAAAACAGAAAAATGTGACAACACCATGGCTCTGGCCCAGCCAGACACTGCATCTTGGTGTGAACTGGGAGGCAGTTTATCGGGCCTGAGATCTGCTTACTTTGGATTCTATAGTGGGCACTATAGCCCCACTGCTATCCTGGCCAGCAAAGGCCAACATGAGACACCCACCCCAGTAAGCCATAGGGTGTGACCCAGCCACCTTCAGTGATGCCCAGTCCTGAGTAGGGACCACTCTTTCATCCCTGCCTCATGTGACAGCATGTTCACAGCAGGAAGGACACGTCCACCCACCTGGCCAGGGAACCCCCAGAGCAGGAGCCAGGGGAACCCAACTTTTCCTCCCACCAGAAAGCAGTGGGCACTCCTCCTCCTTCCCCTTGGTTGTCTGGCTAATATTCTGGTGTTCACAGTCCTGGAGAGACATGAGGAGGGATGGAAACATATAGGGACAAGGGCCGGAAATGTCCTAAGTTTGGCAAGAGAGAGAGAAACCTACAGAATCCAAACTAAGTGGACCTCAGGCCCAATAAACTGCCTCTCAGTTCACACAAAGACACAGACGGCAAAGGACAAAGAGAAAATGCTGACCATAGGAAGGAAAAGCAGGCCCCCTACAAGAGAAGGCAGCAGATTTCCAGGCAGCTGGTATGGGCACAGGATGGAGGCCGAACAGTTCTCAGATTCCGAAAGAGAGGAATCAGCCCAGAATCTCACGCTGAGCAGACAGTTCCTGGAGAGGTGGAGGGAGCCTCACATTCTAGAGGGAGAACTTGTGTGAAAGTGCTGAAACCGACAGGCGGTGTGACAAGAGAATCAAGGTAGGCCAGAGCCACAAATTTTTCCCAACTGGAGTTCATGCGACTTTCGTCTGGGTGGCTGATGGGCCCTGTGGTGGACTGGTAAATGGTGGGCAACTTCTAACACCAACTGAAGTGAATCAACGTGTGCTGAGCGTGGATGGCCCACCTGAGGCCTGCTGCCAAGCTAGAAAGGAGAACTGAAAACAAAATGGAGAGCTGGAGAGGAGGAGTTTCAGTGTGCTGCCATGGGTTCTCCTGCTGCCGTGGGTTCTCCTGGATGAGCCTGTTGAGCTTCTTTCCTGACATGAACTCAGCTGCTCTCATTGCTGGGGGAGCTCAGGACCTCGTTGTCACTGAGGATGACTGTGTTACTTTTCGGGGGAGCCTTGGTTCTTATTTTGAGCGTTGTTTCCTGGCTCTTGTGCTGAACCCTCAACCTGGCACAGATAATTCATCTGCTGGCACAGAATTTCTGGCTTCCACTGCTGACCTTGGAACCTTCCCAGGGCAAATGCATGAAAAAGACTTGCATAAGTCGTTATCATGGCCTTTAGGCCACCAGTTGGACTCGTGGCAGGCATTTTCATGGGCTCTATGTCTTCAGCTGAACTCATGCAGGATACTGCCATGGGACCTGGGACCTCAGCTGGATTCTCTAGGTCTTTAGCGTGTGAACAGATTTCCTTCATTTTCTCTGTTTGACTCTTTAAGTGGCTATCATAAAATACTAGTATAAATGACGTGCTCTGTATGTAATTGTTTCCCTTGCAACCCCTGACTACAACAGGCCTTGTCTCAAAATAAAAACAGGATGCAGCTCATTGCCAGGCCCTGGGTTCAGTATTCAGCACTGGAAAAAGGCAGCTGCCATCCAACTCCGTAATCACACTGTGGTGTTTGCCTGAGAGAAAGTCTGCCTCAGATTACACGCAGACCTCTTTCAATCATTTCCAGCTGCCCCATCCTTAACAGGAAGGCATGGGGGCTCCAGCAGAGGCTTTGCAGGTGAAGGGCTGAACTAAGGCAATTCATGCACATGATAGGACCCTACTCTGCTGTAGGCAGGAGCAACCTAGTGCCGGTGTGTGGCTCAGTGGTACAGCACGTGCTTAGCATGCACAAGGCCCTGAATCCAAGGCCCAGCCCTGGAGAAACACAGGCTGTGGATGAGTGCCACAGCGCTGCACATCCAGGGCATGACATTGAGAGGCACCAACCCTAGCAGATTACTTACTGTGTGATCACATCTGCTAACATTTTCAAGATGACAGAACTATAGGACTACAAAACAATACCGTTTTCACATCTTCAATGCACTCTGTGTTTGAATGGAATGAATGAATGAATGAATGAATGAATGAATGAATGAATTTAGGTATCAACTCAGCTCAGCCTTAAAAGAGCAGGGCCACCCAGCCCAGTGGCTCTCTGGCTTGGTCTGCAATGAGGTCACACGGAAAAAAAAAATTTTTTTTGAAGAGTAGAATATATTTATTGAGGGAAAGAAAGCTTCTGTCTGAAGAGAGACAGATGGGGGTCCCAAGTGGGCTGCCCAGAAATTTGTTTTGAAAAACTCTTGCCTGGCCTGCTGTGGTGGCACATGCCTGTAATCCCAGCACTTGGGAGGCTGAGGACTATTGTGAGTTCGAGGCCAGCCTGAACTACAAAGTGAGATCTTGTCTCAAAAAGACAAAATCCAAAACCAAACAAAAAAAAACACCTTGCCTGGATCTTATCTCCTGTGTATGATCCCGATTTGACTGCTTCAAGAGGTGGGGTCTTGAAAACTCTCTAAATGGGTCTGGCAAGGCTGAGACTGCAACCTCTGCCTCCCCATGGAGCTCAGGAAGCTATGATCAACAGTCTGACCCAAAAGGCCAAGGGTCAGGGGTCATACTATGCCCATTCATTAATGCATTTGGGAATGAGTAATACAGCAGAAACTGTAGCAGGTGTTCTGCTGGCCAAGCTGCTGGAGACAGAGCCACAAATAACTCTTTCCTTTGGCTGTCTGGGCCCTGCCGAGTTCACCCAGGAATTCTCTGTCCAGTGGCTAGTTGGTGACAGTCCCCAGGGGCTGCCAGCACAGCTGACTTCTGGCTGTTTCCCAGGCCAAAACTGTCCAAGGACACACTCTTCACTTCAGAGAGCTCCTGGGTACCACAATGGCCCCAGGCACCTCGCAGGGCTGCCAGGGCCCACTCCTATATGT